ACATATACACCTAGCTAAGAAGTTCAGCCTATTTATCGCATATCATTCGACTAGTGAAGAACCACTGGCCTATTCATTTTTGTTCAACCCGAAGAAGTTCTGGGCTACTCGTCCTTCGTATTAACTAAGACATTAAGAAGTGCTCACCTGTCTATAATCCAACCAATGATGTTGTAGTCTACTGCATACCCAGCCAAAAACCTTCGATGCCTGTGCAGAAGAACACCGAACAATTGATGATGGATGTCTGAAATACAAACATAAAGCCCGGACTCAGCTTTGAAGACACTGCGGCTCGTAACAACAAGGATCCTGAGAACAGGCTGCAGGCAACGATTTCATCACTCGCATGTATGATTACAGCTAGAGAAGCGGGGCTCAGCCAAAGCTTTCGTTTTCAGGCCTCATGGAACGTCTCACCCCAGGCTTCGGCTTTATCGAGTGCCCCAAAATGAGACCACAAATTGGCCTCAGAGAAAAGCCGTCAGAAGCCCCTTTCGAAACCCCTCTCCCCAACTCAGGTGTTGGGCTCCGAAGCTGGCGGCTTCGAGCGAGCCGGGGTCGCCTGGCAAAGCAATCGGGAAGAAAGCTGGCTTCATAATATAGATGTATTTGAATTAATTAGTAAGTGGGAGGCAGTCGAAACCGAGCTAGGGAAGCCCTCCTAGAGCTTAGTGTGGAGAAGTATATCCAAACAAGGAGTTTCTTCGATTGAGTGGCAACAGCTCATGTGGACTAGGCTCGTTTGTGCAGACCGACAAAGAGTTGCTTGTTCTATTCTTGACAAGAAGCGGAATGCAAGAGGCTTGTCTGTAATTTATTAGAAGACCCGACCCTATCCCCAAACCCGAAACCCTAAAGCCCAAACCCCAAAACCTAAACTCCAAATACTAAATACTAACTAAAACACTATGTATCTAAACCCTGAACCCTAAACCCTGAACCCTAAATTCTAAATTCTAAACTTTAAATTAAATAGGACAACTTTCTATTTCGGTGGTTGATAAGTCCTTTCCCAACCCCAGGCCTGAGAGTCAAGAAGCTTTGCTTGCCAAAGCTTCGCAGCCTTCTTCGCCAGGGCACTGAGGCGAAGATAAAGCTTCCTGGATTCCCCAAGGTTCCCGATGAAGCCGCCTGCCAGAACAAAGCTCTATGCGGTATCTAGGAACGGGGTCTTTAGATACTGGCCTCCCTCCAGGTCAAGGCAATCCACGAGGGAGTCCATAGTAAATACTTCTTCTTTCAGCAAGATCTGCACCATCAGAGCATAGTCTGCCCTGAGCTCGACAATCGAGCCATGCATTGCGTAACTACACCAACAAACAGAACCAGGTAGAGATATCTATGAATCAGTCGAGCTGCTGGGGGATGTCTTTGGGCAATGACTTTAGCACAGACTGCTCGATGCTCTGGGCTTGCTTTTTAAGCTGCGGGGAAAGCTGGTCGAACTTTGTGCCGGCGTCTTGCTTGCTTGGCGGCATGTTTCGGCTACGGGCAAACGTGCCCGCAAAGAGATCTTGGTCTGAGGAATCAGCTTCCTCCTCCTCCTCAGCTGGCTCCTGCTCCGGCTGATCTTCGTCGGCACTCTCCTCTTTGACCTTTGCCCCGCCGCTTGCCTCCGATTTCTGGCTAGCACAATCATCTTCATCATCTTCATCATCATCTTCACCCTTCGGAGAGCCCTCCTCTTCCTCCTCCTTCACAGCCTCCTCCTTAACAGCGGCTTTGCTAGCCTTGATCTTTGGGGGCTTTGGGTCCTGCTACCAGGTCAGCAGACTAAGGAAATATGGTACCCCAGATTCAGTAGCTAACAAACAGCCTCAGAAAACCCACCTATGCACGAAGAAGTCCTTGCCCTTCAGAGCCTTTCCCTTTGCCTTTGTGAGGCTCTCCTGCAGATCGGAGGTGGCTTCCTGGCGAGCAGTCTTTGATGAGTGATGTATAAATTAGACTAGGAGGAGGAAGCCTTGCGGAGCTTCTCTATCTCAGCTTCCAAGAGGTTTTCCAGTTCTTGTTTCCTCCATTTCTTCTTCCTGCATGCAGAGAGTGCTAGGGATTGCGTGGGGTCTGCAGGGTATACACAGTTTATTAAAGTTGCTTGCGGTTAAGTTTCGGGCCATCTCTAGCACCAGCCTAGTATGAGCTATCGGCGGGTCGGTTACTTGAAAAGCTGAGGGTCCGAAGTAAAAGGGTTATTTTACCTAAGTGTCTTGTGCCTGCATTGCCGGCGAATCATCGCCCGAAGCATCTTCGCAGCATCCAGCAGTGTCCCGCACTGCACAATGCTCACCGAGCACAAGCTGCGCCCCGTGCCTCTGGAATTCACTAGTGAGTAGAGGAGCTGTGCTGTCCCAGTAATGTTGTACTGTCTGTGTGTCGTGGCCTATCCACGGAACATTAATTAATCTATCCTAATCCCAAGCCCCAAGCACTGAACCCGTGATCTTTTCGACTCGAAGCTTCGGACCCCTTAGCTCTGACCAAAGAAAACCTGCCGGGGAATTGGCTGCTGAGGAACAAGTGTCTGGGTGGGGTTGGGTTCTAAATTTAGGTTTGGGAACTCGGAACCCTAACACTCAACCCTGGCACCCCATATAATATCATGTCCCGGCAAAACATCCTTGAACTTGTCCAACAAAGCTGCCCCGTAGAAACAAGACCTTGAATGTGTTCCCGAACAAAGTCACAGCCCCCTAATTGAAACCCAAGCCAATCTAAGGTATGGTGGTCTGGATCTCGACTCTGGGCCTGTATTCCGAGGGTTCAGCAGGCTGGAAAGTCTAGTGTAGGGTTCATGGCTTTGGGTTTAGTTTAGGGCTTGGGGGCTGTGGGGGACCAGGATATTTAACTCGGTCGTTCATTTAGTAGACTAGAAGTAGTTCAGAGTCCTGAGGATTCCAACACATGTTGAAAGCGGTTTCTAAAACTGATCTTTGCTCTGGGAGAACTCTACATGTAAAAAGAATAACCTCGATAGGTGTAGTGATAGCTGGTAAAATTAAGAAGAAAACCGGACAATAGCTAAAGTGAAGGTGCACCAGACCCTCTTGAAGCATAATCGTTGACTGTTCTATTGCCAAGAGATCCCTGAGACGAGTGGGCATCAGGTAATGGGGAATGATCCCATGTTTTGTTCTTGGGGGGGGGGCGGGCTTCGGGCCTCCGTGTTCTCGATCTGACAAATAACATAGTTAAGTATGGGGTATTGAATATTTATCTCGCAGTCCAAATCACCTGAAAAAGTCTTTGCTGCGTTGCTTTGCAGAATCAGAATCAAGAAGCCCGAACCACGATCCAATGCCAGCGAACTAGAAACCCAAGCCCTGCAAACAACAACCCTACTAGTCCTCAATCACTGAAATTCAGAAACCCTAAACCTTCCCTATCTAGTGGGGAACCGGGGCAAGCACACGTCTGCAGCAACTTCGCAAGTCGCTTCCTCCACAGAGTGCTAGCCAAGGCAGCCTGGGAGATGTTGCGAGGGCGAATTGTACGACAACTCGGAAGCAGCTTGGCGTGATGGTGTGTGTGCGTGTGTGCTCCTGTTTAAGTGGCATTCAGTCTCAATTCTCTGAACTCCCGTGCCTGTGCTGTCGCCTGATTCTCCTCCACCTTCTGCTTCGTCTTCTTCACGTGCTGAGCCCTGTCGCTGTGGACTGCTTCCTTGGCTTTGTTTCTGAAAGGCAACCGAGCTATGGCTATTGGTGTAGTACTACCGGGAATCACGAAGTTGCGAGAAGCGTGCTCAACGGCAAAGGATCGCCCAAGCATCCCACACAACGACTGCCCAGACAAAAGCACTACAGCAGAACACCCCGGATGTTTCCAATGCAGCACAGCCCACCCCAAATCGCGAGATGCAGCCAGGGCTGGCGAGGGAAGGATTTTTGCAATCTAGTCTCGAGCTCGCCGCCGATCTCCTGGAGATCGGCGGCCGCCAGGTAGGAGCCGGCCCCGGCGCCGGAGATCACGAAAGCGATCTGGCGAGTCGTCAAATCATCCATTTTGTCCTGGCCACTCTGCCTTGCCAGATCCTTCTGGCGAAGGCAAAACATCGCCTGGATCTCGGAAAACAGCCCCTGCGAGGACTGCGACGACTCGGAGCTGTCCTCGTCATTCTCCTCGTCTGAGGAAGAACCTAAGCATCCAACACACTAGCAAGCGGGCCTTGCTGGAAAACAACCATGGGTTGAGAACAAGGCCTTTCTTCTTCTTCTTCTTGTCACCTTTCGTGTCTTTCTTCTCTTTCTTGTTCTTTTTATCATCTTTCTTGGCCGACTTCGACTCCTCCTTATTCTCATCTGCACCTGATGCAGCTGCCGTGGGAAAACCCGAGTTGCATATCAGTAATAATTGTCTATGCATCAATCAACAATAGCCAGCGGAACAGAAGAATAGACCAGTAACCACCTGGCCTTCGAAAGCTTGGTCCAAGCTCCTCTTTGCTGCCGACATTAGAAACATCTTTGCATGCTGACCTTCATCAGGCTCTGCTGAAGGCAGCGACTTCGAAGAGATGCTCCTGCTTCGCAGAGTTCAGAGTTATCTTATTTGGTGGTTTAGGGTTTAGGGGCTTTGGTGACAAGGGTTCGCAAGTTGCTTTTTATTTATGAATTTATTATTACCACCACGAACTAAGCGAAAGTCTGCGTATTGACAGAGTAGGTATGGATTGATTGAATGAATGCTGATAAGTTAGTTACTGCTGCAACGAACACAGAACCTTGGAACTGGGGACCGACATAAAATAACAGTGCACCCTAGAATCTGTCTGAACCATTGCAGGTTGGGAGGATGAGTTGGATTGGAGCCCACGGGTCCTTGCTAGTGTTCCGGAGCTTCTCGGCCCACTTTTCACCATCTTTGCGATTGCCCGCAAGGGAACGAAGACGAGGGCCACTGTTCGATTAGGACGAAAGGCAGCAAGTCACAACAACCCAATGGACATAGGCTCCCACTGAGTAATTCAATTTGACCCAAGTTTCCTATGGAGGCTGGTCCTAGGACCTAGGAATCAGAGATGTAGTTGTAGGACCCTACAGATCCTACAGAGTCGCCCAAGCCAAACGTCCTAGTTTCAGCAAGCACATGGAGCCATCAACTCTGCAATCGACTCAGGTCTCAAAGCTGAGCACACAACGGTGCAGCGGCGGCCTCTTTCTGCAGCCGAGCAGCCGAGACCGGATGTAATCACCCTAAAAGCCCCAAGCATACTCGGAGCACGAATTACCTAGTAGCTGGGGATTATCTAGATTATGTTCCCTTCTCACAAGCAACCAACCCCCTGGATAACCATAAAGTTTCAGCTGATTAACTATCAAGCCGAAAGCATTGCAACACCCCGAGGAACAAAGGGCTCGAGTAGCTACCAGCAGCCAGAGTACTGTAATGATATTTCCCCAAAGAAAGCGTGCAACTCCAAATGTTGCTGGCTGCATCCACGAGCTTACAATTTCATGTGTTGTCCTAGGCTGCTGGGCGCAGTCTCAGAACGGCACAGGTCGAAATTTCACCCAGGTGATTGCCCGCACCGAAGACAAAAGTGTCTCGCCGAATTAGGCCGAACGATGTATGGCCGTCTTAATCTTAAGCCCTATTTAGAACCGAAGTTGCAGATTAACCAGGCAGGTTGCAGGCCACAATCGTCGGCCAAGAGCCACGTCATAAGTGCAGGTGGTCGCCAGGACATATATTCCCACATAAATAATCAGCTCCTGGAATGATTGAAAGTAGTGGTGTGGGGGAACAGGGTTTAGGGATTGGTGTTTGGCACCCCGAGTATTACTAAATACTAAACTAGACTAGGCTCATGACTTCGACTCGAAGCGTACAAAACCCGCAAATTAAAACCCTGAAAGCTCAAATCACGAACAAGCAGTCCAAATCGAAGTTTGAGCTACAATCATACTTACCTGTTGCTCGTCATTGTTCTGTGCTCAGAGCATGCAGTGACGGACATCGATTCAATCCAAGGCACAAATCAAAATCGCTGTGCATTCTCTTCGAGCACATCATAAATAACCAAGCATAGCCATCCTCGGCTGCCGGGTCGCTATTCTGAAACGTAGAATCGTCAGTCTTACCATGCAACCTGAACAATGCCGTCCTGCAAGAAGCGGCATCACGGCACCCGCTCGAGAAACTCCCATTCCTGCAGAAGGCATGACAAGAATCCCCACAGACTTTCATCGAATTAGAATTTAAGCTCTCTGGGTCAGATAGGGCGATCCTCTCCGAGAGCGTCCAGCACTGAGGTCTGCATCGCCGACTCAGCAAGCCGAGAATCCACCCCAAAAAAGCAAGGCACACCAAGCACAAAACCCCACAATGCGGCCGTGGTACCACGATCGTCGACCCAGTCGACCGTGTGACATAGCAGTCCACGTCCTGCAATCAAGAAAGAACGAAGCTTTGCGAAACCAAGGGCACGAAAGCGATGTTGAACGAGCGTCGCCTCCAGCCTGAAATCACATCGCCGGGCTCTCGGATCCCCATAAGGATTCCCAGCACACCGCTGCAGCATGAAGCACTCATCCAAGTCCTCGGTGTGAAACAATGCAATATCAGCTGGCATCTGTTTGGTGTGTGCATGAACCCACCGGGCCTGGAGAACCAGATCTCGTGCCATTGCATCCAGCAATCGCGGCAGATTAATCGCCATTAGCGAATCAACCGAACGTCGGTGCCGCAAAAGCACTAGATCGCAAACCTGACACTGAAGCTCACTGTCTGAGAATCAAAAACACGAGCCAAAGACAACTGAAGACTAGAGCCAAGTGGCACAAAATGTGTATGTGCCGGTTTGGTCACCGAAGTAGTTTTGCAACGACGGGATCCCGATTGTCTGTCGGTTGGCCACCCCAGGGAACCTGAGACCAGTTTGCAATCAGATGGGCACGGTACACATGAGCTCGAGGACTCTTATCTAGATTGCCACCGGGCAGCATGGATAAAATCCGCGAGGAAACACGCTTCACACCCTTGACCACAAGCCGGTCGGTTCCGATTAGCGAGGTCATGGCCCTTGGTTGTTCATTCATGATCAATGAATCAGCAACCCACCCCCGTCTCTTCCTGAAGTGCTTGTCCCAGCAGCTGCTTGCAGCAACCGAATGTGGACATCGGGAAGAAGCACTTCGTGAACTTCAGGCGCCGATCCGCCTCCTGCTTCAAGAATTAAATGACAGCTTAATCTCATTCTAGTCTTTCGCCCAAAATCAAGCAATGGAATCAGGCCAAAAGATGTCCTGCAAGGCAGGGTGTCCCTCGAAGAACCGGGCTTCCTGCATCGGAAGATGCAGAACAACTCGAACGGCCACGGCATCGCAGAGGAGCATCAAGTCGGCCAAGAAAGCCTCAACTGTTCAAGATTATGGCTTCTTCACTGAGACCCACACGGCATTTAAAAAGCCGAGCCACAGCAACCTTCTCTTTTACAGCTTGGCCCAAACTGCAGTGGCGAAAGGGCCTCAATTCTTCTCAATGCAAAATGAAGCGAAAGGGAGCTACACCACCACATAAAGACATTCATCCGGGGCACATGATATACAGGAGTCCTCCGGGAAGTACCCGCGTGGCCATTGTCAAACCTCAGCAAGTGAAATCTTGGCTAAATGCCAGGGGGTCCAGAAACTGATGACTGCCAACCATGAAAATGCAACCCAAGGACAGAGGTCCTGCCCCCGCTCCGTCTCCATGGATTCGCTGTCGTCCAAACCCATGATGTGGGACGTCTGCAAGCCCTCCTGAGAAGGCTATGGTTATGGGTTGTGCTTTTGATACTTCTACACTGAAGTACAAGCAACTTAGGCTACCACTCGCTCCATTGCCGATGCCAATATGCTGTTGCCATACTGGCAAAACTGCAGGAACCGCTCGCGCCACATCAAAGGTGAGTCGTGACAAAAGCCATCCTCGAAGGCTTGCGGAACCAGCTTTCGAAGCCGGGCAACCAAAGACTCCGACATTGCCGAGAAATCCATGACTATCAAAATCTGCAACACCTGTAAGCTATGTCATGCCGATCTGCACAGCTTCTAAAATATGCCAAGCCTGTCTGTGAAAGATGTGTTGTGCCGGTCTGAGCACTTCTAAGATGTCTCGTGCCAGCCTATTGATTATCGCCCGATGGACAACTGAATCATGAACCTGCAACCCTCCTTGGACCCAAGCCAATCGAGGCGGCACGCATAAATCCTTGGAGCACGCACCTGGAGGGAGCATGGTAAGGGAAAGCCTTGATTAAAGCCCTCTACAACCCTAAACCCCAAACGCCTAAACCCTTAACCCTAAATAACATCCTACTAAGTCTTTCGGAATCCCGATAAAATCCGAGTGGCCCCTTAAAGGAGGCCTGTAAAGAACGGTTGCTACAGAAACAAGTACAGGACGATACAGGCTTCTTCACCTTTCACAGAAGCCAAAAAATCCAAGCAACAGTATAATCTAGACCTCTGGGGCCTAAAGATCTGCTTTGCGGGTACCCTATTGGTATCTGGACCCTTGAATAACCTATCGTTGATGATACAAATCCTGCATTACCTGAAGGACCCTAAACTATGGGAATTATGGTCTATATTCCCTATTTTGGGGTAATGCAGAATTTATACCATCAACCGTAGAACTCAGCCAGGCATCAGCAAGTTTGCAAGGTCTGCGCCGGACATGCCTGGCTAGCCGGTACCAGGATTGAAACCGGGAGTCCTAGGGTTTAGGGAGTCCCTCTACCGGGGTTTAATATAGGGGCCTTAATAATATATTGGAATAGCGTTTTGGGGTATATAATACTATAACTAGAATAAGGAACCCCCCCCCAACAAAAAACAAGTAGTAAGGTAATTATTGAGGCCCCTGGATTTTTGAAGAAAGCTCTCCAAGGGCTCTATGCCCGGGGCGGAGGGTGTTGGTGTTTAGGGGTTTCAAAGCAGTTTTAGGGCCTGGGGTTTCTAGGGTTGAGGAAGTTCTGTTTATGAAAAACTTCAGAGTTTCAGCATTGGTTGAGGTTTTAGGGCTTAGGGTTTCAGGGCGAAGGATTTAGAGTTTGAAGCTTGTTCTGGGTGCGATGGGACTTTTGTGAGAGTTTAGGGTTCGAGGTTGGGGGTTCTTTGACGAAGGGGTGCGCTAACCTTCGGGATTAGGGTTTAGGGCTTCAGGGTTTAAAAGGTTTGGGGTTCGCCGCTCCAACATGGCCTCCAGTGTATGGATCTGTGCGATCACGGTCTGAAGCACGACTCCACTCATCATCTGTAGCCAGAAGAAGCAGCCAAGCTTCTACCCCATCTCCTCGCTTCCTATGTCTACTTGTCGGATATCTTGGGGAACTAAAGGTTAACCTTTGCGAGTAACTATAGGGATTATAGTACCCCAAAAAATGTTAAAGGGGAGTAATAGGCCATACTAGGACTATAGGTGCCAGGGGCCCATCAACGTGGATGAGAGTGACCAAATTGAAAGCACCCAGTGGCCGCATCTCGGCATCTCGGTCGTCGCCTCGTTGTTGTGCTAGGAGCTCCAGCCACGGTTTGTACTATATCCTAAGGGTTCATGTAACCGGATCGTACATACCTGGGCCTCACGAAGTAATGATCTCTATACATGAGGTGTGAGGCCAGGGCATGTACTACTGGGGTACATGGACCCTTAGGGATACTTTGTTTTTTTGCACATTACAGTCAGGAAGGGGAACCCTATGGACACGTATTGCTACCTGTTCAAGCCCCTTGACTGAAAAATCCCAACGGAGGCGTGTCGGAGAGCTTAGGAGCTTTAGTGTTGTCTGGCTAAAGTGCCTCGGGCTTTTAATCTGAAGGTGCTAACTAGCGCAGATGTCGGAATCATGCCGATCGTGTCCCGTTAGAGTCCTCCGCATATATACTCAAATAACCCCAAAGCCCTCTCTGCTGTAGTTATTAAGTAGAGAACAAAGAGTTCTGTGCACCAAGAGCCGCAGGCCTGGGGTCTGCCTTGCGATGGCCGTGAGGTCAACGCCGGCAGCCAGGTTCTTGCCCTCCCAGGCAGACACAGGGCCCAGGATTCTGGAACGTCCTAAAACCCAAACCCTCAGACCTAAGGACCTAAACCTCAAAATCCCTTTAATTCAGGCTTTGAGGTTTAGGTCTGAGGGTTTAGGGTGTTTACGGCTCTGTAACAGGTGTAAGAAGCTTCGCAGGGCAGACGCCTACACATGTGCATACACACACACACACACACTTATATATATATATATAGAGATATGTACTAATTATCTGGATAAAGAGAAATGCGCATATCACGTCCATCCATCCATCCATCCAGCCATACATACATACATACATACATACATACATACATACGTAAATACATACACACATACATACATACATACATACATACATACATACATACATACATACATACATACATACACACACACACACGCACATACATACATTATCAATGTATACGTATATTTGTATACCCATCAGGGCCAGGATATTCCTTCCACTTGCGCTTGTGACCAGGTGTCCTCAGAGCAAGAGCTGTGGTAGACGTTGCCCTCAAAGCGGTTAGGTTGTGGGGTTTTAGGGGTTAGGAGTTTAGGGTTGGACTCACAAAGGTGATGTGCTCGCAGTTTCCGTGCAAGGCAAACTCCAAGCAGGTGCATGCAATGTGTGGTGTTTATACTGCTTGGGGCATTTAGGGGTTTCTAGCAAGAAGTGTTATAACTACAGTAAGTGTTGTCAAAATCTGCTAAACTTACTTCTACTACAGTTACGTACTACAACTGGATTAGCTTCTAAGTCTAACTCCATCACGGCACTATTACGATCAAACTGCTTGTAGCCTTACTTACTAGGTCCACTGATCCTCCAAGTGTGCATCCTGCGAGGCAGGAATCTGGCCCTGCTTGACTATACAGTTTAGGATTTAGGGAATTAAAGGTCGGAATAAGTACCAATACCACTCCTATTGTTGTAATGATACTTACGGGCCCTCTATTGTGGCATCCACATTCAGGGCCTCGACTCGCCTTCCAGCACTTGTTATGTAGGGTTAGTGTGTTATAGGGTTACAAACTGGGTGACAAACGGTTACAAGCATTCGATGGCCTTATACAGATGCTATCAGGTTTTGAGCCATGCAATCTAAACGTAAACCCTAAACCTTCGTCGTGTCCGGGCTTGTTACCTGACCATTTTAAGCGCGATGAAACCCAAAAATAGCCCTATATAAAGATCCACAAACCATACATTATGGCCTTCGCATGGACCTTCAAGATCTCGGATCGCCCCTGAACATCAGGAGGATCCACCTGAGCAAAGGCTTGGTGTCCGGCTTAAGTCTAGGCGCAAGGTGTTCTGATAGTTTTTGTTTATTCACTTTGAACAGAACAACTCTGACCTAGTCCCAGCAAGCTGTGCGGATCACGGTTCACTACAAGGTTCACGACCGCAGACATCTGGCAGACCTACTTAAGATAGTCTGCTCATCCACGTCATATAGGGGCCTTAATCATTACCTATACTTTGTTGGGGGCTCCTTGTAAAGCATAATATACCCGAAAACCTATTCCAATTATTCAGGCCCCTCATTACCCCTTAGTAGCCTGATCCCGCTAACTTGTGACACAGAGGGCACGCGGCCGCTCAACGTAGCTTTACCTAGACCCTAAATGTAGTACTTTGTTGTGGTTAACTTAATTTGTTGTTATAGGATCCTAACCATCAAATATAAGTCATCCCATATAAACCATAAACATACTGCCTTTAAGGTTTCAGGTATTACGCAAGTTCGGGAGACAACAACCTGCGGAGGCCTTAGGATGACGGTGCCACAGGGTCCCCTGATTAATAAAGCCCCGCCTTGGGATCCTGGTAACTATCATAGTGATATTGCCGTTTGCCGTTACCTAAACCCTGGAACGTATCATACACCTTGTTTGGGCAACCTGCTTCAAGGTTAGACTAGATAACACAAGAGACAAGGCACCCAACAAACGTTACATTGGAGAGATAAAGCAACCAGAGCCTGAGCCCTTCAGTGCAAAATGCTAAGACCACTTCTCTTCAACCCTAAACCCTAAACCCCAAAACCTCCAACCCGTTTGAGGAAATGGCCCTCTAAAAACGACGCCTGGATCTGACGATCGAATCGCCCAGGACGGACGAGGGCTTGGTCTAGGATGTCCTCGGCATCTCACGACGTTTACTAGGGTTCCTGTTAAGGGGCTTTTAGGTTTAGGGTTTAGGGGTNNTAGGGGTTGAGGGTTTAGCGGTTTAGTGGCTAAGGGGTTTAGGGTTTCTTAGTGTACTATCGTAAGAGGCACTTTTGATCGGGTTGCGTTATATATTATTTTAGATTTCTAATGGCTTGCTACGATCCGTTCAATTGAGCTCCTTAATCAGGGTGGATGACTACAGGGGTACTGCTTTGGGGGTTGAAGGTTTGTTACTTGTCCAGTTTGCAAGGGGCAATACAGGGGAGGCCTTTGGAGTTATATAGGGGCTATATGTACCACAAAAAAGTCAAGCGTTGCGCACGCTACTGCGAAGACTATATAGGGTTCTAAGTTTAAGGTGAAGGGTTCGCGGTGTATGGTCTAGAATGTTAGGTGCTCTGATTCTCTGTTGCTTTTCGGAATGTTTCAGGACATCCCCGATTCGATGGGCCCTTGCTCGAGGGCGTCTTGTAAGCTGTTCGGGGGGGGGGGGGGGGGGNNGGGGGGGGGGGCATATAGCGGCCGGCACGCATCCGAGTCCCCATCCCGCCGCTCCGTACTCTAGACCCTCTGCTGTAACCATGCAACCATAAACCACCCGAACTACTGAAGTGACCCACCATACTTCAACCCTTTGGGGCGTGTAGGGTTGGCAAGCCTGACTGTGAAACCTGTCAACCCTATAGGCCCCAATTACTAAACTCCACACCCTACGAAACAGTCGTTCATGACCCATACCATTACACCTGTAGCCCAGAAAAGCGCATCTCCTGAGGGCTCCTGACT